AACAGACTTAAAAACTTATATTTTCGAAGTATATACAAACTATTTATTCAAAAAAACATTAATATACATTAAAATAACAAAAAAAGAAAAAAAAAAAAAAAAAACCCGCAAACCCGCCGGGCCCGACCCGGAACCGACTCGACCCGCCGGGTTTGCGACCCGGCGGTTAAGGGCCGATTCACTGAACCGGCCCTTAGTTACAAGCGGGCCGGGCCCAGTTCAGCCCACGGTGAACCGCCGACCCGGCCCGGCAAATGGACACGTCTAGCACAAGTTGGGCACCGATGTTTACACTAGCTGCGGCTGTGTATTGCAGCTCACTCATAGACTTCCTTGTGCCTGTCTTCTCCGTAACGCAGTTGATTTCGACATTCCGATTGATCTCGGAATGATTCACCAGTTTTGGAGAACGCTCTAGATATTAGAGCCAGGTAATTTAAGATTAATGTTTTATTTATAATTTTATATTAAAATACATTATTTGGTTTAATTCATTGACTTTTTTATCGTATACTTGTAGGGACTGGTCATCAGAGCCAGGAGAGCCACGCTGCATGGTCAGATGCGGAGTTCTTTCAGACGCTTGTGAGTGATGTTGAAACCCGCGATCCCGCGACGATGCGGTACGTGAATCAGTTCATGTACAGTCATCTTTACGCCGTTGCGACCCTATTTAATGTGGTTGTGATTCATTTGAGCTCTGGTTTGCAAGGTGGGCAGCACGACTTATTCAGCAACACAGTGTTGCCTCTCACTGCACGATCATCGGCTAGAGGACCATGTCGTGAGATTGGCATTTGCCATCTTGGTACCGTAGCACACTACATTCGTTTAGATTTGACTGATGATTGTCCATTACCGCCTATTCATAACATGTGGTTCCGTTACCGAGATCAATCGGTTGTGGGTTGGGAGGATCAGTACCAGTCTAGGTTGCAATTGTGGTATACTGTTCAAACGAAAGCTTCTTGAATAAAAGAACGATATTATTCACTTGTGGTGTAACGCTTCTCATTCAACTTAAGTATATCAAATAAAAAAATAAATAAATGAATCAGTTCAACTTAAGTTTAGCAATAAAAAAAAAAAAAAAAAAAAAACCATTCAACTTAATGATTTACAATCAGAAAAAAAAAATCTCATTCAACTTACCTAAGTTTAGCCAAAAAAAAAAAAATCATTCAACTTAATGTTTTACAATAATAATTAAAAAAAAAACATTCATTACATCATTATTGGGCATTGTCGTAATCCAACTTAAACTTAGCCAGTTGTTCTTCGACTTCCGCCGCCACCGGACATTCGCATCCCTGCTGCCAAATCGATGTAATGCCCAAAAGACGGTCCACCCACTAAATAACGGGAATAATAAAAAGATAAGACTAAAATTTATTAAAAAAAATTATTGTAATGAAATAACATTAATTAAAATTTAGTAACCAACTTACATAGGCGGTATTGACACGCGTTGGGACCTCGTTCTCGTCCGGCAGCTCCTCGCCAATGAGAGTCGGATGGAGAACCCGACTGTACCACTGCAGGTAATCCTCAGTCGCCTCCCCGCGATCCTGTGTGGTGTGGGTCAACATACCGGTGTTGACCGTCCCAGAAATCGGGAACTGGGTCCAGACACCTACTGCAGCAGCCTCGAAATGTTCAACCTTGTAGTTCCTAGACTCCCAAGCACGTACTGCACTGATTGGCGGGTATGTAGGGGGAGGAACAGCCTGTACATACCCCAACTGACGCAGACACCGCGCAGGCAAGTACGGCTCGACGACATCGCGGTATCGAATCAATCCGCTATAAAGAGTCCTCGGCTCTACCGCATCTGGGCTGGAGCTGTCGTATGGCAACCATTGCACCTGTTCACAATTGCATAAGAGCATTTATAAAAATAATTATATTATTATAAATAACGGGTAACTAAATTTAAATAAAATAACTTCACGTACATCGGAGGCAGTGAGTCTGTCGAGGCGCCGACGGATGGATGTGAGCCGATCGTCTGACCGTGGCGCATTCCCTACGCTCCACGAGCGTGATCGTGCGAGACAATCAGGACCGATGGATAGACGCCCCCGGGGTCAGAAATCGGGGAAATACTCATATATCCAAGACTGCAGAAGAGTCAAGCAGCCCGACATCTGGGCAGAGTCCGTTCGGCTGGCAATACCTAGCTGTCTGTACATGTATGCCAGCGTAGCCGATCCCCATGAGTAATCCCCAATCAAATCCAAGCCGTCGAGCACCTCGTGCAGGAGCTTGGGGGTCACTCTACTACCACTCTTGTCGACGAACAATGTGGTAGCCAACATCACCCTCATCCAGGCACCCGCCTCATCCCTAGCCGGCCGGCGTTTCCCCTTGAATGCCCCCGAAATGGCGGCTTCGGACACCGAACCACGCTGCCAGAACGAACTCATGAGTTCACCCTTGGTGACCGAAAGTATCGACATGCAAAGCCCATGGCAGGCGTCCGAATCCGGGTCCCCAGCGACCACGATTCCCTCCACTGGAACGCCCAAAATGGCCCGGACGCGTGCAGCATGATGCTCATTTCACCAAAAGGCAGGTGAAACGAGTTAGTATCCGGCTGCCATCGCTCCACAAAAGCAGAAAGGAGTGGGGTGTCCAAGTGGGTGTGCATGGAGTCGACCAAATGTGACAGCCCGGTCTGGTCGAGAAGAGCTGTCGCATCGGAAGACATCTCTTCACGCCAAGCCTTCAGATTCTCGATCGCTCTCAGTCTGTTGTGGCATTTCAGCGGCCCCCTCAAATTCCCACTCCACGTGCAGGAGGCGACGTGCCCTAGAAAGCTAGGGATTACACTCTCAACAATGGGCCCACCGGGCACTGGGCCTTTAACGATCCAGGGTGCACCATCATCAGTCCTAGCTCGTTTGCTAGTACCTGCATTAAAATACAACATATCTGTATATATTGACTTGCTGGCAGATGCACTAAATAAAATATATTTAATAAAACATATTTCATAAGTTTCCCGTTTTTTTTTTCAATTACTGTACGAACGTTACGTTTTACATTAATAAAATATAATGAAACTAATTTATAATGTAACATTACTACTAATTGATTATAACAATAATAAAATTAATTATAATAATTTTCTAACTAATTAATTGTATGGTTCATCTAAATTACAAAATAATTATAACGTAGTTGAGGAGCAGGCCGATAATACATTTCTAACAGTACCGATAATTTGTTATGATTAAGTGAAAATAATTTATGTTAAACAACAATAAATACGTAAATTATTTACCTGATGAGGATGCAGATGGGCCAAAACGCCCCCAACCTGTCGTTGAGGAGCAGCCTGTGTAGGACGAACAGCCTGTACCGGACGAACATGCGGTAGAACCGACTGTACCAGACGAACAGGCTGTACAGGAGGACGAGGGTGGTTAGGACTTGTAGGCTGTGCGTGGTCCTGATCATCTGAAGAGTCGTCCGAGTCATAGTCCTCTGGACCCGGCTCCCTCGCGTCGTACGACTCATCATCAGCATACCCCTGCTGACCATAAGGTAATGGTACGCGTGCGCGGGGGGCTATCGACTTCCCTACGTAGCGGGAAAAAGCACATCCCGGCTGATCGTACGGTCCTGGTGCCGGGGGCATCGAACTGCCCGCCTGGACAGGATAATAAAATCCATGTTCACCGTACGGGAGGACTCCGTGGGGTCGCGAACTATCTGCGGACCAGTTGGCACTGGTGCGGGGGGGCGGGAACTCTGGGGAGCCTGACGAAGCTGTACCCTCCGAGCCTCATCGATCAACGCCTGCCTTTCCATGTCCCTCTCCCGACGAACGGACGCATTGACACCCAGACTTCTAGTGTGTCGGGTGCCAGAACCATCATAATAGTCATCGTACGCCTCGTCGTCCCTGGCATTAGATTGTCCAGGTCTGCCAACACCCTGAATCATAAATATAATTATTAAATTTTTCCATATGTAATGACTATTCTAATAACTATTAAAATAGATTATAATTCATTTTTCTTTTCATATATAAATTTTATTAATTATTATTATAATTATAATTGTTGAGATTTATAATAGTTATTACAATTTTTTAGTTAAATTATTATAATTAATACTAATTTATAATTATTATTATATTTAATTATAATTATCATTACAAATTATTATTATTATTTCTTATAATATTATTATTATAAGCATTTATAATTTATAATTATTAATATTATTTTTTGAATTTATAATTAATTACAATTTATTCAACTTATTATTATTATAACATTTAATAATTATTATTATAATATATAATTATTATTATAATTTATTATTGTTATTATAATTATTTCTAATTTGTAATTATTATTATTATTTTAATTAGAATTTATAATAACTAAAATATATTCAACTTATTATTATTATCATATATGATTATTATTATAATTTATAATTTATACTTTATAATAATAATTATTATTATTATTATTTATTATTATAATTATTTTTAAAAAAAAAATTAAAACTGTCCGGCCGGCGTGACCAGCCGGCGGTTCCGGATGGTTTATCGGCCGTGCGGAACCGGACATTCTTAGGACCGTCCGGTCCGGCTGACCGAACGGTTTTTGGTCCATCCGGAACGGATGACCGGACGGACGGCCGCGCAGATTCAAAAAAAAAAAATTTAAAAAATAATTCCGGCATAAAAAAAAAAAAGAAATTACCTTGTTGGAGAAGAGTCTTTTGCCGAGGCCGTAGGATTTTTTCGATATTTTTTTAGATTTTTTTCGGTGCTCGAATCATTCGTTGAAGTTCGAAAATTTAGAGAGATAGACTTTGAAAAATAGTTAAGGACAAAAGAGTAAATGGGAGTCGATGGCTAGTAAAAGAGACGGTGAATAGTCATTGAGTTTTTTTAACATGCTTCTCTCTCCACCATCCTCTTTTTCCTGCTCACACTATAAATAAGCTCTCTCTACACAATTTCCATCCTTTTCACCCTTCTGGGGTTTCTGAGAGGCGGCCCCTTTCGGAGAAAATAGAAAAAAAATAAAAAGAAAACCCAGAATCGAATCGAATTGAATCTTTCTATAGGATCTGAGAGGGACAAACAAAAAAACACTCACTTGGATGAGAAATCTTACAATTAGATTGAAGTAATTTGTGCGTGTATATTTATCACCGGCTCAATCTACAAAGAAAGAAGGTAGGGAAAGAGAGAGTTCATTATTTCAAATTTCTCTTTTTCCTGTTCTTTATCGATTTTCTCTGTTTGTTTCACAATGTGCCTTGCTCACGTTTTCTAAAGAAGTTTAAAAAATAATAATAATAATAATGAAATTTGGCATTTGTTGATTTTGGTTTTTCTTTTTTTGTTCTTTCTTTTTAAAAAAAAAAATAAAAAAATTCTCCTTCTATTTGGTTTCCATCACTGCTCCTCTTGCTTGTAATAGCCCATCAAGTGTTGTGGTTGCGGCCTCCTAAAAAACGTAGAAAAGAAAACGAAAGTATTTTTGAAATTTCTATTTCTTGAACTTGATGGGTTGAACTGACTTATTATGGTGCTTGTGTTGACGGCTTATATTCAGCTTTCCTTAGTTACAAAGAGTTTTTGCAAACGTTTAAAAGAACGGCGGGTTAGGTTTTTTATTAGGCTGCTGTAGTCACTCTTCCAACAAATTCACATACTTTCATACTCTAATGTCATACTTTAAAATATAATGAATCCAAACAAGAGTATGACACTTCATAGTATAAGTATGCATTTATTTGTTAAAAATTATGCTGATTAACTGTTAGCTAGCTTATCACCAGCGTTTATGTTTAAAGAAAATGACAAGTTTATTTAAACTGAAAAAACAAACATTGGCTTTTCTAGTGTTTTCGAATGCTGACTTCTCGTAACTGCTAATGATTCTGTATATCTGAAATTTGTGCACAAATAGAACTCATATACAACTTATTTCACCAAAAGCTTTCCTTACTGGATGATGGGGGCCGTCATATCATTTATATTATGTACTGTATGTTAGAGTTGGTTGAGGTGTACATTTGCTGTAAAATCTTCAAACATGCAATACTTTTCCAGTAATCTCGAATCTCATTAAGGCACAAAAATTGAGCATTTGATGAATATTGGATCAAATGACAGGCATGAGATTTTGAATATGGGTCAATGCCGGGACTGGAAATGAATGCAAGGACATGGTGCACAGATGGCATAGTTGTATTTGTTCGGCTCATTTATTGGGCCCAAAATTAAGGACCGGTTACTTGGCAGAGGGTTCTTACGTCTGCTCACTCGATCACGTGCAATGTCTCGTTGTTTTCCATTTCCACCACCTGGATATGAGAATAAGGCTAGACTAAATGATTTGAGCTTGATCATAAAGGTTAGTGTGCTTTTTCTTGTACAGTTAATATCATTTGTATATTTGTTTGAGTGAATATAAAAATATCTGTAATACCTGGACTTGTATGCCTAGTCTTTAACTATCACATTGATTCGTGATGGTTTGATCGATGATCCTGACTTGCACAAGTCGCTTCATTCTCCCCAATTGCTTTTTTGCTTGTGCTAATTTCTTTAATCCTAAGTTGAACTGCAAATTGTGTTTCGTACTATTTTCTGACATGAAATCATGATTCACAAATATAATCTCTTGCAGTTTAAGAGCATTTGCTTGAATGCTAAAAAGTTTTTGTTGGCTGTGTTCTCTTCTCTCAAGTAGATTGCATGTTATTTTGATTTAGAATGTTTTAGGCTGTGGCTTATGCAATATTAAGTAATCATCGGTATTATTTTAGTGAACCGAACCACGAGCCTAGTGGGTGCACATGAAGCTTTTATTTCATGGCTACGTGTTAATTATAGAAGGATTGAACGACCAATTGTGGTAAACAAGAGGGCTTTCTAGTTGACCGGGGATTTGGTTTTATGTGGTAAAAGCTTCCAAGTACCTTTTCTTCATAGAATCTTTTCTGAATTCTCAATCATATTTCCTTTTTTTTTTTTTGTTTCTATTTACCTTGTGGGCATGTGTGTGTTGGTGATCCTCAATATGTATTACCTATTTGTAGTTACAAGTAGAAGCTTACGACTTTATGTTATTATCACATTTTATTATTCTGCCTAATGAATACTGTTAGACAACTTTTAGATGCTTGTAACATCACAAAATTCTATATCAGGAGAAGCACAAGCATAAAGATAAGAGGCACAAGGACAATGACAGAGAAAAGAAAGAAAAAAACGAGCAGAAGGGAAAAGATAGAGCAGATGGTAAACATAAAGAGAAAAAGGGCCATAAAAGGAAGCACAAGGACAAGAAGAAAGAGAAACAAACATCTTCGGAGGAGGAAAAGACTGTTGGGCCCTCAGGGAATCAGAATGGCCACAGCCACAGGATTTTGGTTGAGATGGGAGAAAGAGTTAGAAATGATGACATGGCAATGGATAGTAGCTGCGCCACCATAAGTCTCGAGTTTGTTGTGGAACGCCCAGGAAATAATTGGGTCGGTTATTTTTCTGCAGAAAAACGAATTAAGGCTGAAAATGGCTATTGCGTAGGTAAAGTGGTTGAGCAAAGGAATGGAAGCGAAAAAAAGAATGGAGATGGACTCGACAATGGAAATAGAGATAAGCATAGAAAAGAGGATAAGAAGAGGAAAAAAGAGCAAAAAGAGGAGAAGGTGAAGGAAACCAGTAGTAAAGACACGATTGAACGGAATGCTAGTGATGGTAATTTGCAGGACTTTTGTGCTCAAAAGCCTAAAGACCTTCTAAAGGAGAGTTGGGACAGGCAGGGAAAACTTCCAAAGCTTAAGGAGCCTGTATTAAATGGCTTTTTGCATGGTGAGGTTCATGCCTTTTTCATTCAGTTGATAGTTTTTCACATCACTTCTAAAAATTTTGTTCTTGCATTTGTAAGTTAAGAATAAGAAAATGTATGTGGTTATTTATAATTTTCAAACATAATTGGTTTTTGATGAATATTTTTGTAACTTGCATTAATAAATGAATTACACTCCTGAGATTAGTCTCCATGGGTTTTCACCTGATGTTTCTATGTGTTCTTTTGCTGAAGACAATGGAACCAGGCCCAATAACGTGTCGAGGCCCGCTATTTCCTCTGATCAAGTCAGCCAAAATGGAAATGGCCCAGTTTCTTCTCAAAAGAATACAACATTTTTTACCAAAGAGACACACACTGTTATTTCGAATCAAAAGGTAAACGGTAAGGTTTCATCTGCTCAATCAGTGATTAAAAATGAATGGGATATGAGACCGTGCCAGAGTATGAATAACTCTGTAAATGGCATTTTCGAGGGTAAATATGACATTTCATCATGGGCATCATCTGCTTTTGCAGAAAACTCCACAGCTGAGCCTTTCTATAGTCATGCGGTCAGCAATGGCTTTAGCTCACATTTAATAATGGATAATGGGAGAAAAACTGCCAGACCCAATGTTCATGAGAAGGATAATAAAGATTTCAGGGTAGATGGTACATTGGAGGGCAAGAAGGACATTTCTCATCCTGATTTGAAATATCTAAGCCAAATACTCACCGTGCCTAACGTAGGACCACTTCAGTATGATGATGACGAATGGATTTTCGGCTCCAAAGGTGAAAAGAAGCTTCAAATGGGCCCATCTGAAATTGAATGCACAAAGAGTGTCTGGGCAGAGGCTATACGGTTCGAGCATGCTGATGTCACTGTGTTGCCGTATGTTGTTCCTTACTAGACAAAGTGGGTTTTTTCCTGTGATTTTCCAATTTGGAATGGCTGAAAAATGGGTGTCCATGTTTTGGTTTGATATGACACCTGAGACATGGGTTTTGGATATAATTATGAATTACCCTTGAGGTTTGACAAAGTATCTTCAAGAATTACAAGTACCCCAATTGGATTAATATGAACTCTTGAGGATTTGTTATTTTTGGACAATGTCTACCAACTTAGGGTGCAGACCTTTTGAATGAAAGTAGTGCCATGTGGGTATTGTAATTTTGACAAAATGTCATTTTTGCAGTTAACCAAATGTCATTCAAGTTTGTTGAAATTTATTCTACATGAACCACTTGAGAGAATTTCATGGTACATAATTTGGAGCCTCTACAGATTTGTAATCAGGTGGAGTTTTAATTACCGTCTCTTGAGATTTCTCATTGCATGGAAAAGTCCTGGTTTTGTCTCGTGAAATCTTTCAGCTTATTTACATTAGTGTGATACTTTTGCACCAATGTTTCAAATGTATTGGGAGATGGTAATGCATATTGGTGGTGGTGGTGGTGCGGCATATTGCAATTTTAATGCGAAATTGCGTCTGTAATTGTTATATGTAAGGGTATTTTACATATTCATTACCAATAGTTTTTCTTATTTAAGGAGTGTGCTTCGTTTAGGATATGATGATACGGTATGATTGACCGTTGAAAGCAAGTCAGATGACAGTTAATTTATGATTAATTGATTTGATAATTTGTTGCTAGAAAATAGTTGAATTTATTGGCTGGATGAATATTTAAGGAGTGTATTCAATTGTGATTTTAAGTGACATTTTAAAATATTTTTTAAGATTTGAGACTTTAAGATTATCAGATTTTGGAAAAAAAATTATGAAATTTTAAGTTTGTAGGTAGGATTTGAAGTGAGATTTTATATAAGGTTTTTTGTTTAGAAATCTACGAAATCTTAAAAAGGTCTTGACAAATCTTAGTAACAAATAAATTAAATATTACAGGATTTTGTAAGACTTTTTAAAATACGAAATAAACACCTCAGGACTTTTAAAAGTCTTAAAAAATCATAACAAATCTAAATTGAATACATCAGGATTTGTAAAGTCTTAAAAAGTCTTTAGAAATCCTAATTGTATATAGGGAAAATTTTATGTATACACAGCGATTCAACAAATATTGCAACATTACGAACGGTTACAATTTTTTTGCTAACTTACCAAAAGCATGGAAATTATTTGTGATAATGCAAGATTTCTGTTACCCCAAAAAAATCTATCAGTATCCTTAAATTGCGGGAGTACAAATTAATGAATTTACTTTCAGTATCCCTGTTACCCCAAAATTGACGCTCAGATTAATGACTTGATGAATCAGTATCCGTAACTTCATTCTGTTACCCCAAAAAAATCGATGTATATTTTTATGTATATTTTATGTATATTTCGAGTGTATATTTCCTGTTACGAGAATTTCGAGTGTATATTTTCTGTATATTTTATATATATTTCGAGTGTATGTTATCCTCTGAGAAGTTTTCTTCAAAAGGCATTCTACATACATAATATATACAGAAAACATATAAGTTCAGAAAATATACGAAGTAACTTGATAATTTTATCTTTTCGTAATTTTTTTTCTGTTTCACGATCAAACTTATATACAGAAAATATATTCATTATATACTCAACATATACATATGATATGTTCACTGGTTATAAACGAAATATATACTAAATAACAGTATATTTGTCGGGAACATATACAGAATATATACTAATTGTATACATAGGACATAAAAGAAAATACCCAACAAAAGATAAAATCAATATGTCATCCAAATTTTGCAAATCTTCTTCTGATTTCCTCAAATTATCACCGGGCTTGTTCCTCTTCTTGGTCAGGTTCTCATTATTTTCACCTTTTTTTTACTCGTTTCTTGTCCTTTTTCTTGTTTTCTTGCAAGTCGTGTTCTTCATCACTCGATACTTCATAGCTTTCACTGTCTTCTTCATGAATTTCGTCCTCAAAGTCGGAATCCATTGTTGCCCCTTTTTGTGCCATACCTCGTTTTCCTTCATTGTGTACTCGTGACCTTTTATGTGGATTGTGGCTGGGGGCCGACTGAAAGTCATCGAAATCGGATGACGGGTCAACCTTTTCTGGCCTTCTCTTTCCGGGCATACTCGGATAGTTGTTGCTTTTCATTTTTTTTTTCGAAATGCAATTTTTTTTAACGAGAGTGGGTTTCCTGCAAACTTTTATATTTATGAGTCGCGAACTCGATCTTCGATGAGGGGAAGCTTTGGCGCCGGTTATCGAACTTCTTCCAATTTTCATTTCTGCCATTTTTTGAAACTGGTTTGAAAGGTTAGGGTTTGCAATTGAGAAAAATTGTGGGAGAGAGAGCAGAGGTTAATCGTGTTGAAGAGAGAGAAGAGAGTGGGTGCAGTTTTATAGATGTGGGATAATTGCCTCTTACCATACGCATCAGGAGCCGTTTTTGGTACAAATATTAATACCATTAATCTAGCTAGTGAATTAATTATTTAAGTCAGTCGAATTCTTGTATAACTGCAAATATAAACGTAATCTTTCACTATAATGCAATTATTTTTAAAAGGAGTTTATTTGTGTAATTAAAAATGAACTTTATAGTGTAGCCTATAATTATCTCTTGTATATACCCCTTAATGTTTTCTTAAATTTTTGTTCCTTGTGTTTTAAGCTCAAAATGTTGCATTAAAAAAATTTGTGAACCTTGTTGGTTTTAGTTGGGGGAATTCTATTTGAAGACATAAAAAGTAAGCTTTTTTTTTTCTTCATTGAACTTTATTTATTGGATAAAGTTAGTTAAGATTGAAAAAAGTGATTATTTGAAAATTTGAATTTGATTTTGAATTTGTGATTGAATATTAATTAAAATGTAATTATAAAAATTGATGTCATAAAAATATAATAAAATAATAATTATAAATGATTAGTAGTTAAAAATATAAGTGGATGAATATTGAGTTTTGTGGGTAATTATGTGGTAAGGATTAATTTTTTTATTATTTAATTATATTGATAATATTGACAAGAATATTATTTTTTTCCAAAGATAGATAAACTCCAATAACCAAATAAAAGTACACAGTCCAAACGAGAAAAATCCCTACAACTAGCCGAGATAAGCAGGGACATACATAGATAATGTATGATCTAAAAGCCAGACCTTGGAGTAAGAGGGCAGCTATCAAGTTGAGACCCACTTCACCCCACCTTTCACCAATACTGAAATTATTCTTATTATGAAGGCAATACATACTGAAATTATTTTAATGCCCGTCTTGCACAAGATTTTGATGCTCTTTATTAAGACCTGACCTCTTTTTTCTTATAATTACCGAAATAGTCAATTTTGTCGGTATCTTTTATTTCATACTTTTTTTACATCCTGAAAAGCACTTATAAAGTGCTTTTATATATCAATGTTATATATGTCGTTCGTATAAAATTAAGTAGAAAATATAAACAAAAAATATAAACAAAATTCAAACATCACAAATGTGGTTAGATAAATGATGTGGAAATAAACACTGCAGATACTAAAAAGTATAGTGACTATAAATTCAACATATATTGAAAAATAATCTGATACCCCGTCTTACATAAGATTTGACGCTCATCGTAGAGCCTTGATCTCTTTTTCTTATAGTTGTCGACCTAGTTCGATAAGATCTTCATCACCTCGTCCTTGAGGAAGGGTTCCACCAGTGTCTATGATCTGGTCATCGGGAGCGAGTGTAGGCAGATCTGCTCAAGGGATTTGATCTTACCACCTTGGACCGGCTGAGAGAGCTTCATCATCGGCACCCACTTCGGCTCCACTATACCTGTCGCGGCCATGGCTACTGCCGAAGCCGCCCCTTTCTCCGTCTCTCAGAGTGTCCGACATTTTCCAGTGGCTCTGTAAAGATGTGATGTGAAAAGGAAATGAGAGCGGCGAGTGAATGAAAGGTTTTTGTGAAGAAAAAAAAAAAAGAAAAGGAACGAAACAAGGAGAAGAGAGAGAGAGTGAGGAGAGTTGAAACAGTCCCATAAAGAGTGAAATTCGGTTTTGACAATCCCCATTAAATCCGCCTAGTCCATATGTAACTGAAAATCTAGCATTTATGCAAATAAATATAATAATTTTAATTGTTTTTCTAAAAATTATATGTGGGGTATATATAAGCAATAAAAATGACATTGGTGGTTGACTATGTAATTTACTCTTAAAAAATCCTTTACTTCTATATAATAGATTTTCTTTAAAATAAAAAAAAAAAAAAAACTTTATCCATAAGTTTATTCTTAGTTTAACACCAAATGTACTAGAGTGCATTCTTATCTAGGCTTGTAAACGAGTCGAACCAAGCCCGACTCAACTCTTTAAGTAAACGAGCCTGAAATCGAATTTAAGCTCTACTCGCTTATCAACATTCACAAGTTGAGTTTGAGCATTAACAAGTCGATCTCAAACTTTAACGTGTCAAACTATAGAACATTATATAAAAAATATCTTTTCGAAGCTTATCGAGCCCAGCCAAGCTCATTAACGAAAGAGCTTTAAGAGAGTTCGATGATAGACAAGTCGAGCCGAACTCAAGCCTTAACAAGTATAGCCGAGTTCACGAGCGACTCGTTTCATTTTGAGAGCCCAGTAATAATCCTTATCCATGAGTTTTATTAAATATGGAGCTTTGATTTTGCTTATCAAAAGTTGTACCTAACGCTGCATATAGCAGCATTTCTAAGAATAATAGTTTCACATAAAAAGCTACTTGAAATGACTATTTATCAAACATTGTTTTTGGCTGTTAGAGGTGGTCAAAACAAATATCAGATAGCCCAACATAGCCAAAAGCTTCAAACATCTATTTACCAAATATTTCAAATATCAAATTTTGGCATTATGTAAAATAAATTTTCACTCTAGTTGGGTGAATAAATCATAATTCATTTTTGTGTAAAACTCAAACTAGAAATACTAATGACGCTTCTATTGAAATTTTCATTAAGTTATGCATAACCAAATTCAAGAAAAAGTAAAATACATTCATATAAGTATAAGTATTCACCAAAAAGTTTTTAGATAATATTACCCATTCCCATTGCTTTACATAAGAAGTGTGGAATGTTGGGGCAAATAGAAAAGTTTGGGTAGATCATGATCCAAGCGCTTGCTAAGAAAGCATCTATAGTAAGAGAAGTAGTTATGAATCATAGACCATCTCCCGGGTGGTGAGGGGAGAGCCCCAATTGGTACAAAGAACCCACAACCCTATAGAAAATGCAAAAGCAAATAAGTATAGTGATAATTTGGTTGTTCGTCGATATAATGTATATGCCAGAAAAGAATTCCTTTCTTCATCTTTCAAGAAAAAAAAGCCCTTTCCTTTTAGTCATGGCGGGATGTATTGAACCCGCGCATGGTAGATTTACTACCTTGTCCACTTGGCTACATTAGCCCTCAACAAGGACTAGTTAATTAATTCATCTTTGTTGAAATGAAATTATTTTTAAATTTAATCTGAAAATTGTTTCTTTAGTTTTTATTTAGAAAAACAAAATATATACATATACGTATACTATGAAATGTCATACTTTTTTGTTTATACAATATTTTAAAAATATAACATGTACGTATATTTGTTGGAAGAGCATGGATGCCTATGGAACCTAAGAGAAGACCTCTTAAATATTTTTACGGACGGTCGAGAAACTTATAACATGCACGCAAACAAGCAGTATCAGGAAAGCAAAAACCGCAAAATATGACCAGGTTAATTTCTGTTCAGACATTTCATTTTCTTTACGGGTAGTGACAATCTAAATATACCCGGTAAAAATGGGTAGTAATTTTTTAGGGTCATGGGCCAAAGGAAGACTACCTTGAGATGTCAATTGCTGCCTGAGGAAGTTCCTCTTCTAATTCTTGCCCTTCATAGACCGTTTCTTGGCTGCACCACACAAACAAAAAGCAGTAAGATGGATGTATGATTCAACTTGTCCATACTAAAATATTATCATGAGGAAACTAATTTAGACCTAGTCTCCTTTTGGCCTCAGATTTTGCAAATAAGTCCTTCCATTCGTCGGTTAGAACGAAAATCGGTTCATCATCTTGCTCAATTTCCAGCTCCTTGGTCTCATCCTCGATCAATTTTCTTGCAATAATAATAATTAATAATAAAGTAGTCTAATGGGTTGAAAAGGAACAATAAAGGAAAAGAACAGATTATGTACACTGAAAATTGATTTGCATTCGAATCTATTATTATTTCAAGATATCTGGTTACAAATAATTCTAAGATTTTAACGAAGAAGCCCAGTTGGATCTAGAAACTATTTAACCTGTTCTTAAGCGGCTTATCTACTCCGATACTATAAGCAAATGTATTAAAAAGACAAGAGATGTTGCAAGGTGGCAAGGCCACGCCTCAAAGCATGGGAAGCTTTGAGGTGCATACTGCATAGTCTTCAAAACGAATTTCCAAGAAGTATCACTATTTTTAATTATTTTATGGTCATAAGTGTTATAAAAAAATGTACATGAACTAATTCAGTAGAAAAGCTATGAACTTTTCCATTAACAATGTAACAATTAGGATACGATTTAGAATCATTCAATCGTATTCTACAAAAGTAACTACTAGTAAAATCAGCATTTTCAAAGTATAGTTCATCTTCTATGCCCTCCATTTCATCTTTCTATCAAGAACAAACAATTTTCAGTTTCTGGATATGACATTACTTTTGGATTTGAAGGAGCTTTAGTGCAGATGACACAATTTGGAATTATATTTTTAGTTGTTCAAACAAAAGGCACGCGCTTCCATTGTGTCTTTTCACGCCTAGGACTTTGACGCTCAATGTATACGTTGGCACCTTTTCTCATGTCTTTCTACTATGCGAGGCCTTTTATCCAAACCTCACACTATGCATTCCTTGGCGCCTCCTTTTAATAAGGGCACGATTGGAAATAGATTTTATGAGGTTTTAACTACGGATAACTTTTTTACCTCATTTTACCTCAAAAACCAACTCTACTATAATTCAACTTAACTCACCTAGTTTTTATTAATATAATTAAATAAATATCAATCAATCATTTTCACACATTAAATCAACAATATTCACAGTTTATCCACCCACATATTTTTAACTACCAATTATTTTCAATCATTTCTATCCTACTTTTACATCCATCAACTTTAATAATTCTTTTAAATATTATTTAAATACAAACTCAAAATCTCACTCAATCCTCCACTAAATCAACTTTTTCCAAAATTAACTCAATTTATCCAATAAATCCAATCAAAACTAAAAATTATTATTTACAATCACCTCCTAAGTAATCCAATCGTTCTAAGCTTTCCACCACATGCCAAATCAATTGAAGCCAAAATCATCTTGAATTTGTGCTTGTGTCTTTTATGATTTCTGTCTAGGCTACAAAGTGTTTGTAGTTCTCTCATTGCTCAAGTTGTTTGAGTAGTCGGTTGTAGTCAAACCTTTGGTTTGTGGTATGAGTATTTCTATCGTTATGACAAAAAGAACACAAAAAATTGCAATGGTTTGAACAAATGCATTCTTATAACCGATCAAGAAAAACTAATAACAATATTAATAAGCCTGACAATACTATTATGAGACAACCTGAACCGATTTCAACCCATCCCTAGATTCGAGCATACAACCTCAAACTTCAAATGTATATCGGCGTACCAAGTGAGTGAATATAATTCATCAGAACAGTAATTTTTATTTTACAGAACAAAAGGAAAAAAATGCAGTTCCCATTAACCAAAAAAAAATAAAAAAAAAAAAGTGAAAAGAGCGAATAGAGAAAGAAAGAAAACCTTGGCAGAAAAAGATGAAAAGTGCAAAGGCACAGTTAGAATGTAAAAATAAAATAACAAACACGAAGAAACTCTTACGATTCTTCATGGCGGTGAGTACACAGAAAGTTGAGATGTGGATTCGGAGAGGCGGGATAACAAGTAGAAAAGTTACACAATGGCCAGTGATTTTGTGGGTGCAAAATTGAATGGTGAAATGGGCAGAGTGGTGATATAAAAAAGAAATGGTGGTGATGGTTTCCGCCGCCGTAGTCCCGAAGAGAGGTAGGGATATTGCCGCTCCCGTTGGAGTCCATCCTATTTAGTCAACTTTTGGCTCCAGTGAAACTTGGGTGTAGAAGTTGGAGAGAACCGGGAACAGATTTTTAGGTTAGCGATTGGAATTTCTGACATAAACGATGCATTGGATAATTTTAAATTTATTTATCGATGCAATATATATATATATATATATATATATATATATAATTACTAGCTAATCCTATTTAATAAAATATTTACTAAAAACATTTTTACTTTATCTCTAAAAGAAATTACATTTTTTTAATTAACTATTCACTAATTCCACATTTAAGAAAGTCTTTTTTTAGTTAAACTTAATTAAGTAATAGCTAAATTAAAAAGGTTTCTTTTAATTAATCCTACATTTATGTTTCTTATTCTCATTTATATATATAAATGTGGCAGTTATTATTGTTATGCAGACAATATATATTATATTTTTTTTATTCCATTATGAATTGAATAAGCAATTAAAGTTATAAAAAATATTAATAAATGTATTAAATACAAACATTATAATACAGATCATGTTACATTACAATATAAAAAATGAAATTATTTTTTTTGTAGTTTAATTTCCAGCCATACTCCATCAAACATATAGCTGCAAAATGATAAGAAAGATTAGTGTCATAATTAAAATTAAAAATTTAGCTCAAAATTAAAAATTTACCTCCCCCAAATGGTAAAACCTTACAAATTAGTAGTATAGATACAGTTAAATGACATATAATTTATAAACTTAGACTATACGCATAATAAGATGAATTAAAAAAAATTAATGAATTAAAATAAATAAATTATTATTATAGAACAGTCTATATAATTATTATAGCAAAGTCTATATTGTCAATATTATCATTTAAAAAGTTCATTGAAAAAACATATGTATAAAAAAAATTCATATGATCATAATTAATAGTGCAAAATTAACTATCTTTAAATTTTCATTTGGTAGTAATAATAAAATATTTTATATTACTACTATTCAATAAAATGCATGATTTTTGTAGATTTGATTATCGCAATCAACATTCTGTTTTATAAATTAAAAAGTGTGCTGAATAAATTGTCTCATATTTTTCATTAAAAAAAACTGTTGGCCGTGAAAAAAATATTATTTCACAATTATAATATAAATATGATTAATTTTCATTAAGCAATTCTTCTTTAACAAAAAAGTTGCGGGACAAATTTATGCATGATTATAATATCAAAACATATCCAAAACATTAATATTTTAATGCATTAAAAACCATACTTTCGGCGACAGAAAAGTCATATTAAACGAAAATTGGCAAAGTTAAAGAATGAGGATTGATAAGGCATTGTATGTAATGCATGTGGCAGATTGTTGCATAATATAGAAATGTCAAGCATAATCAATAATCAACAAAAAAAAGTCAAATCTATATGAAAAAATCAAAATTAAAAACACAGCAAATTATGTTGAACATTATTGGACACTATACAATATAGAAAGAAAAATAATTTGATTTCCCTATCATTATCAACACATTCAACTTTTACCAAGACATCTGCCTTTATATTAAAATCGATTTTTTTTGCGTAAAAGTTTTAAAATAAAAATTCCTACAGATTCTTTAAACATTAAACAAGAAATTCCTAATATGCGATAAATATATCTAAATAGATTTGTTATAAACTTACCTAATATTTTCAAATTTTGAACAAAATACTAAAAACTTTGAAAAACTTCGGCAAAAGACATTTAACAACTTCGAAAAGAGATTTTGAACAAGTGTTAGCAAAGCTTCACTTACTGATATGATGATAAAGACGAGAAAGAATTGAATTATTTAGTGTTCAAAATCTGAACAAAGTACATAAAAGTTACATATGTACGTTATAAACAGATATGAACAGATATGTTATAAACTTACCCATATATATGTTAGTAGAGCTGAACAGATCTGTTAGAAACTTACCTATTTTTTCAAACCCTGAACAAAATGCATAAAAGTTTGAAAATGTTCGACCAATGTCATGTTCTCTTCGAAAAACGATTTCGAAAAACATCTAAATAATTTTGAATTATGTATAAAATATGATATATCTATGAAGCTTATTCACAAAGAATTTTGAAAAACGACACAGATCATTGAAAATAATAAAAAATATAAACTACGTTTAACAAAAAATATTTCAGCTCTTCATAGATTTGTATTATTATCGCCCGATTTTTACCGATCTGTTAAGATTTAGCAACACAGATTAAAAAATCGGGACGAAAATTTATTTTTCGATCACTAATGTTGGCCACAAAAACAACATTTCTAGGATATTTTTTTTTTTAATCCTTTACCGGGAGAAAATCTCCGATAAAACATTTGTTTTGTATTGAATCTCGCCGAGTTTGTCGTAAGATCGGGTTAAGGATTAGGGTTTTAGACAGAGTGAATAACGAGAGAAGCGCCGACATCAAACAAAAAAAAATGGCTTACATCACTCTCAAGGAGTTTATCTCTATTTATAGACATGTTATCATTGACCTGTTTTATATTTGATTTTGGCGACCCTAAAAAATTAAGTAGACTTTTAATTTGGGATTTTTTTATCATTCAATCAATATATTTCTTTATGGCCTAAAAATTGCCATTTTGTTCAAATGTATTAATATTTGTTTGACACATATCATTATTTATCAACCAAATACAATTATTTATTTTGTAATATTTTGCTGGTATTTTTTTAGTTTTTTTATTTTTTTTAAATTTCCTATATGATCTATAGTACAAAATACAATAATTATTTAAAAAAATAAAACCATTGTATGTCTTAATTTGAAGATAGTGATTTGTAGTGATGGAAATTATGTTGATAGAAAAACCACAAACGTTGTATATAAAGAATTGTTTAACAATATTTAGTTATTCTTTCTTAGAACATTTTTTCAATGATTATATTATGAATTTTACTATTGTTTATATCTTTTTATTATTCTTTGTTCTATTATATTGCTTTCCGTGCAAATGCACGGGTTAAAAACTAGTTTTTGGTAAATAGCCCCATGTTTTCTTTGTAGTAGCCCCTGCCCAACAACATTAAGTCCAAAAATATTTTGAGTTAGCCCAACATAAAAGCCCAAAATATTAAAATAAAGTACCTTTCAATTTTTCTTGGCCCACTTACCCAATTTCTAATCAATTATCCATCCATTAGTTTTCTTCTTCTCCATTACGGCGACTGGAACTTGAAAGACATAAAGAAGGAAAAAGAAAAAAAAAAAAGAAAAATCTCACCTCGCTGCCAATCCCAATCAAGCGAACCGAGCACAACTTCATTGTCCGCCGGCTTCACTCCTCCTCGCCGTCAATCCCACCACCACGGCCTTCGCTTTAGTCTTTCTCGCCTTCAATTCCACCGCCTCGGTCCCGATCTCAGCCCCCGGCTTCACTCCTCGCCGCATCGCCGCCGGTCCTCCACGGCTTCACCGGCGCACCGCCGGNTTGCCTAAATGTGTACCTGTATTATTATTACTATTATTATTATTAAATAATGTGTGTAATAAAATAGATTTTGTCCGGTTTATTTTTAATTGCGAAATCGAGCCCGAGAACCCGAGTCTTCGAAACTCACGCACAAGAACCGGCCCGATAAATTGAGAAACCCGCGAGCCCGAACCAAGCTCCAGCCCCGACCCGGTCCGCCCATGAGTGTGTGTGTGTGTGTGGGTGTCTTGAAGATTAGGAAAGGATTAACCCTAATGTGCCTTTAATCCTCTCCCCTCACCCTCATTCACGCGCAGCTTTTTTTTGTTCTCTCGTCATCCTCCTCATATCAGCAGAATCAGAGGAAATAAAAATCTCACGACCCTCGTTCATCGTTTCCATCTCCCTCCCTTCTCCTCCCGTCGTGTCTGTTCACAGCGAGAATCGCCCGTCGCCATAATCTCTCATCTTCTCTCACAAGAAAGCTCCGTCGCGCCATCACCCTCCCTCACCGCCGCCTGCAACTGCACCTCCGCGAGCCGCCGTCGCCGCTGCACTCCTCCGCGAGCCCTCCTCCTCCGGCGATACACCCAGCAGCAGCGCGCCTGAGATTCCCCGAGTCCAGCAGTGATGTCTTCTTCCTGTTCGTGCGCACCACCAGCCCCATCGTGCGATCAACTCCAGCCCTTCGATCGCCCGTCATCCCCTCAGTTCGTCGCCGGGACCATCTGTGCGGGATTCCTCTGTCCGGGCAAGGATTCTTCCAGCGAGCACCTCTTTTCCCGATCAGTAGTGGCGTCATTTGCACAGACGACTCCCGACCAGCCGTTCGAGGCCTTTATTGAACACCGAGGGCCCCGACGAGCTCGTGACCCAGCAGCAGCGACGCATTTTCTCCTCTCGTGCAACGAGCTCTCCTCTTTCGCGAGACGAGTTTTCCGTCGAGCCCGTTCGAACCCTTCTCGCCCGATTCTTGAGAACGGTATCGAGACCCGTCTTCCCGTTTATCTTACGTAATTATCGTTGTGTTATATGATGATATGTGAATTCGTATAAGTTATGTGATTATATGTTCGATATATGTGTTTGATTAGAGAATATGTGAAAATCGTGAATTTATATGAAAGATATGATTTTTTGTGTCGTTTATGTTGTTCGGGATCTCTTCAATTATGAGAAATTGAACGAGACCTCGAAAGTCGTGTAAGTCAGTGGATATTGGAACAAAGTCGAGTCCTTGGTCTTACGAGAAGGCCTCGGACGAGAAATTTCATGTTATGAATTAATTGCTAAGTTGCCGAGCATATATGTCGTTGTTTTGGTGTTTGAATTTTTATAAATCGCACACTGCTCGGAATGACTTGAAATTTTGAGAGATATGTTATCTTTTCATTTCCAGCCTTGTGTAAAAGTTTTATAATTTTTAGAGGCCTGTAGCTATTTTTAATAATTAAAGTGAATTCTGATCAGAATATTGTTTAATGCTTAATAAATTGGTTTGTGTTTGAAATGAGCTGAAATTGTAGTATGTCATGCCTCTGTGATGTTTATATGTTGTGTTAAATGTTTAGAATTTTTGGAATTGATTTGATATGGTTAATAATTAATTTACCGAATCTGGTGAAAATAGTTTGAATTTTTATAAATCGGTTGTTTGGTGACAAATTCTGAAA